AGGTCGTGCGTTCGAAACCTGGTGGGAACATGAAATTTATTTCGCAGCCAAAAATATTATAGAAGTTACTAGAGCAGAGTCACTTTAACCATGAAATAGAAACTAAATACTTAGTTACTAATAGGCACTATTTAGACACTATCACTGAACCAGAACAGTACAAAGAAATTACTTTGATTGTTAAAGTGTTCCCTTGGGTATTGCTTATTGGATCAAATAAACTGTTCTGGTTCAGTGCTAACGACTATTAGGAACTAATAGTGCCTATTAGTTAGTACTTTTTAGTTCTTATTTCATGGTTCATGTGACTCTGCTCTATAGTAACCAAATTAAGCGAATATATATAAATATTATAAATAATAATTAATCGAAAAGCACAGGGAGACCAACTAGAAGAAGTAAGTAGAATAACATTAATATAATTAATATGATTAAATAAATAACCGCTGACAAAAACATCGCAGTCTCAAGTTTACATGAAAGCGAGCGAGCGAGCGAGTGACAGCTGTCCGAGTTAAAAATGGGTTTTGTGGGGGATCTCCACCATCATTCTCTCGAATTTTTGCACTCTTGCTTTGTTAAATTGTTTTCAGAGCGACCAAAAGCCCCCTTTTTGGGACTCACTACAGCAAACACAGTTTTCTCAGATGCACTACCGAACAGCATCATGGGATATGTTGATTCAAATCGACAGGGATGTCGCAATCCTGTTTTTAAAGATATTTTATAAGTGCCAAGTCACTCGCACCTACCGGTAAAATATTGCACCGATTGCCTTGTATTGATGTTAAAACTTGCCAAATTTACCTTGGTAGTAGTGTCTGAAATCCACCACAGAAAGACTTAGGATACGACCTTTCTCTAACGACAACAATTCAAACTGACATTTGCATTGCCGCCATTGTCTTCGAAAAATCGCTCCCCACTCCTGATTTCAAATCATCAAGTTTAAAAAATTATTTAGCGTCTCGTATGATAAGAACCATTGCAATGCCAGTGCAATGATAGAAACCCAGTTGTGAAAGGTTTCTATCATTACACGCTCAGGCTACCTTTCAAGATTCTTGGTGTGCAACCCCCAAAGTGAAAATTTATTAGTCGTTATTTTCAAAAACCAAGTAGCGAGTCACAAAGAGCATAGTCAGATTATCTAGAATACGAGCTTTAAGGCTTGCAGCTTACTTTCTGATGAAGATATCAGCGAATAAAGATTTGAAATATTTGGTTAATTTGTATGGGGACGCCATCTTGGATGATAACTTTGATCATCCAAGATGGCGGCTGGTTTCAAATTGACTTCAAAAACTCTGGTTTCCTTGATTTCCTTTGTAAATTTTGTTCAATTATGGCTTTATTTCAAAGAAAAATCACCTTAAGTACGTTCTTACGGAGTTGAAAGAATGATTTATCCAATTTCGAAGTTTTTGTTTACGATCTAAAAGTAGAATAAATTAAACTCCGCACAAACTAAAACTTTTGTGATTCGCCACCAAAGCGTTGAATTCGTCTGAAAATTTCCATACACACTATCTAGAAATATATTTAAGA